GTGCACTGCAGGAAGGCTGATCACCGGCTGCACCTTTCACTTTTAATTTGATCCAGAGCAGATGGCTGAATCCCAACCAGAGGAGACTGAAAGCATGGTGCAAAATCCTTACCGAAACACGTACATTACAGGTGGAACAGCTTCCATGTGCTTGTAGGTCCAAACTAATGGAAGTGTAGTGGTCATTAATTGTCATTAAGAACCTTTGTTTATTGCAACTATCTACTCTAAAAGGCAATGTACAAAGAACAAGCTAGGGAGCATTTGCCCTTTTTATAGCTTTCTAATACAAATTAGTAGTCAAATTTAGAAAATGAGGAAATAATTGAACTTAAATGTGCCTAATCACTTATCTGTTATAGGGCAAGCATTTGTAGGAGAGCTGCCTCTCTCTGTGATTCATAAATCATGCGTTTGAACATGAAGCCCGTGACAGTTTGTACTGTTTGGTTCGTACCTGACCCATCAAGTTCCCATGGACTCTTTGATTGTGAACCAGTGGCCATGCATTGCTGCAAACAAGGATGTCTTCTAAGTATTCCTAAACAGTCTCGTGTGGCCATAACGTAAAACCTAACACATGCAAATGGTGCATAGTTCATGATTGTGGTTTCGGACCTCTGAGCTCACGAGGCGTAAACTCACTTAAATGTACTGTCATCGAGCGGTTTCTGACTCTCAAGGACCTGGGAGGACCAGAGAGAAGCGCCCCTGTGGGTTTCTGAAACCAGAACTGCTTACAAGAGCAGGAAACTTTGTCTTTCTCCTGAGGGACAGCTGGTGGCTTTCATCTGCTGTCTTCGTGCTCCGTGGCCTAATCCGTAGCCTTCACCACCAGGGCCCCTCTGTGAGGAGTAAAGGGTTAGAGTCCAATCAGCAATACAGCAGCATTCCCTTGTCTAGTCAAACCAAGATTTTACAGTTTTTCACCTTTTGCATTGTCAATTAAAACACTCCAAAAAAACAACAACAACACAAAACCCATTTCTGTGTTCATTGTGAGTATTGAGGATTTTTTTTCTTTTTACACCAAAACTCTGTTAAGGACTTACTAACTGACACATGCAGTAAAGGATAGAGGTCTTGGCTCAGACTTTTTAACACTCAAGCTTCCCCTTGAGTTGAATTACTTTTCGCTCCGTAGGTCTGCCTTACACGATTTCCCCACGGTGCCCCTGCTTTTCTCTTTCAACACCAGCTACCTCTTGGGCAGCGTGACTTGGCTTGGCTTTCTTACATGGCATTCCTAAGTGGCAGCCCTGTTCTGTGAGGGTCCCTTTCCTGACTCGAAATCCTGATGCCCATAAAAGAGTGCATGGTTTCAGAAGAAATAATATTGCACTGCGTTTGGGGCTTAGAGTTTGCAAAAGGTTGTGTTAGAGTAGTGCGGGCCTTAGAAAGAGGTGGAGCGAGAAGGAACAGAAAGACTGGGTTTGTTCTCTATAAGGAGGATGTTTTGGGACAGCAGGATGGATAGAATCAAAGTTATTGGCTAGAAGAGTGTGGTCTTCCTGACCCGGGAAAGAAGATCTCATATTGCACTATCAATTCACTTTCTTCTCAGACCTCAAAGCCAAGCACATTTGCTCTCTTGATCCAAAGCCAGCCTTGAATATGTTGGGCCTGCCCATGACAATCTCTCAGCTCACTTAGCGACACTTAACACCCTTTAGTAGACAGTATATTCTTTTGCACACTGACCTACAAACCTGAGAGAAGTCCATTTACGGGGTAGTGTAACTGGCCCGTGATCAGCACAGGATGTGACTAGCATAAGGCCTTCTTTTTCTGTTTTGGTGGGGTAAACACTTAGAGGGGTGATCCCCTTAGACTTCTGACTTTATTGTTCAGTTAAAAAAAAATGTCAATCTACTAGGTTGCCCAGGAAGAATGGGGATGGGATGAGGGAGACAACCTCTGTTATCAGCATCATTTCAAGAAACACAGGACATTAACACTAAAGTAGAAGGACAAATTCCTAGGTAAGACAGGGCTTTAAAAGAATGCATTTAGCTTTAAAAAGGTCTCCTCGGTTCCCTAGAACTGCAGAACCCTGGGTTTCTGAACAGTGGGGAGGGATCACAAGAACAGTGAGGAAAATGAACTCATTAACATTAGCTGTTGGCGGAAGTGCTTTATCATGTCTTGCCCTGTGGGTGGGCCAGTTAAGTAGGAATGTTGATTCTAAATGCAGCTTTCCAAAATTTTTAACTGACAATAAGATGCATTAATGGAAGATTGATCATATAGATTCACCTTTAGAGTTTATTATCTTACTGTTCTCCAAAGTAGGAGGCCTTTGATCATATCAGAAACTTGTACTGGGTGTATATATATATATATATCTCCAACTCTGGTTTGTGCCATCAAAGCGTGATATCATCAGCCACTCTTGCCCCTTTGCCTGTGGTTTCTACCATGTGCTGGTTTATTTTTATGTTTTGGGCTAGTAAATTGTTTGCATTTCCTGGCGGTGTGTCACTTGAAGGAAGGTTAAGTGCCGGAGAGAATAGTAATCAGTGGCAAATCAGCTTCTATCTGAAGTGTGCTAGTTAGCAATCTACTTGAGGATAATTGAAAGTTTGCTACAATCACGTTGTTTATGGGTTTCTAGGTGAATGCTAAACTCCCAATTGGGACCCCCGATTACATGGCCCCAGAGGTGCTGACCGTGATGAATGGAGACGGGAAAGGAGTCTATGGCCCGGAGTGCGACTGGTGGTCTGTGGGAGTGATTGCCTACGAGATGATTTATGGGCGAACCCCATTCACTGAGGGGACCTCGGCCAGAACGTTCAGTAACATCATGAATTTCCAGGTAACCAACCATTGGTTGATGTTGAAGTAACGCTGAAAAACATCTTTTAAAAATTATACTTGTGAAAGTTCATAAGCCAGTAGTACTGAATAATCACAACAAGTAAGTATATTGTATATAGCAATTAGAAGGATTAGAAAAAGACTCATTGGGAATCCAGGACAGATGACACCTTCAGGACCAGTGGTGAGAATGGCGATACTGGGAGGGTGTAGGGAAGGTGAGGTAGAAAGGGGGAACTGATTACAAGGATCTGCATATAACCTCCTCCCTGGGGGATGGACAACAGAAAAGGGGGTGAAGGGATTCGTCAGACAGTGTAAGATATGAAAAAAAACCCAACATTATCAAGGGTTCATGAGGGAGGGGCCAGCGGCGAGGGAGGGGGGAAAATGAGAAGCTGATATTAAGGGCTCAAGTAGAAAGCAAATATTTTGAGAATGATGATGGCAATGAATGATGAGGGCAAATGCGCTTTACACCATTTATGTATGTATGGATTGTGATAAGAGTTGTATGAGCCCCCAATAAAATGATTAAAAAAAAAAAGAAGACTCATTAACAACATCCAGTATGCAGATGACACAACTCTGCCAGGTGAAAGTCACGAGGACTTGATGCGTTTACTGATGATAAAAGACTACGAGCTTCAGGGTAGATTACATTTCAACATAAAACGAAAATTGTCTCAACCAGACCAAAAGATAACACGATACATGGAGAACAGACCCAAGTTCTCAAGAATTTTGCGTGGATCCACAATCCATGCCCATGGAAGCCTCAGGCAAGAAATCAAATAACATTGCACTGGGCACATCTGCTGCCGAAGACCTCTCGAACGTGTTCAAAAGAAAAGACAGCACTTTGAGGACAATCGTGTCGCTTACCCAACTGTGATCGTTTCAGGTATCTTCCATGTATCCGAAAACCGGGAAATCAGAACAGCAGGAAAAGGATGCCTTTGACTTACCAGCATGGTGGAGAGTACTGACTACGCCACAGACTGCCAGGCTGGTGCAGGGGAAGGGCAGGAAAAAAGAGGAAGGCCCTCACCGAGATGGATTGACACAGTGGTCGCATCAGTGGGCATAGCAACAATTGTGAGGGTGGCACAGGACCGGGCAGTGTTTCGTTCCATTGTGCATGGGGTCCCTATGGGTCAGAGCCGCCTCGATGGCATCTAACAACAACAGGCTGCCGGAAGAATGAACAACTTTATTCTGAGAGGCAAGGATGACGAGGCTTTGTTTCATGCACTTTGTATGTTATCTTGGGGCACCGCTCCCCAGAGAAGGCTATCATATTGGCAAGATCGAGTGTCAAGATCGAGGGAGATGGGCTGACACGATGGCTGCAACAGTCACTTCAAACATAGGAATGATTTGTGAGGATGATGCAGGACTAGGCAATGTTGTGTTCCCTCATGCATGGGTTGCTATGGGTTGGAAACGACAACATCTTTGTGCCAAAACTTTTCTAAGCACTCGGTCGATTGCGTTTCATTGGAACCCAGCTTCCATTACCATAATTGTACTTGTGATACTACGCCTGTTTTGTGCAGCACTAAAAAGAATTACTACCAATTAATCTGTAATGTACTGATTAGAAAATGCATCTTACTATTAAAAGCTGTTCAGTTAATAAATATGAGTCTCAGAATTGAGGAAATGTAATTTATTAGCTCGGTTAATTGTGAAACCCATAGTAGGTATTACTGTTTTCATTTTGCTTATGTGGAAACCAAGGTAATGCGTGATTGAAATACCTTTCCCAAAATAGTAACAGTTTTAGTCTGGCTTTTCACTGTACTGCTGCTTAGGACTACCTATTGAATATGATAGTAAACTTAAGTGAGGAAATGGATTAGATATATTGTAATTATCTTTCTGCATAGTAGTAGACTTAAAACTATTTCCTAATGTATTTTTATCTATATTAAATTTATTTCTTAAGACTATAACATGCATTTTCATCTTTCTAGAATGACATACATGTCATAATGTGACATATATGTATATGAAAATGTAGCGAATTCTTTTAAGAGCCTTGGTGGTGCTGTGAGTTAGGCAGTGGGCTGGGAACAGTAAGGTCAGTGGTTCAAACCCACCAGTCACTTCTTTGGAGAAAGATGAGGCCGTCGGCTCTTGGTAAAGATTTACAGTTTCAGAAAGTCTGGAGGATCTCTATGAATTGGAATTACTTAGATGGGTATGAGCTTTTAAACATTTTTTGGTTTTGAATTATTAATTACTCTGGACCTTGCTTCTAAATTAAAGTTTCCCTTTAAATGACCCTGGGCGGTGGTGCCGGTGGTGGTTGTGCTGCTAATCTTTTGCCTTCGGTTTAAGTCATTCATTGAATAAAGATGTATTGAGGTACTCTTTTAAGAATTACAAATATGAGATCTAATGACCACAGCAACTTGAAAGGTTAGTTAGGAAACTTAGGAGGCAGTGCGTTTTTGCTCCTGGAGAAGGAGTGCTTTGGGAAAGGACAGTGAGAATAGCGCACAGCTTCAAGAAGGTAGTCCACGTCTTGAGAGTGTCCAGGTTGTTGGTAGATGCCGGTGAGTTGGTTCCGACTCATCGCCACTCTCCGCACAACAGAATGAAACACTCCCTGGTTCTGTACTATCCTCAAAATTACTGCTGTGTTTGAGCCCATTGTCCAGTCTCTGTCACTGTGTCAGTCCATCTAGTCGAAGGTCTTCTTCCTTCTGTTAAATCTGTATATGTTCTGTTGTGTATATTTTTAACAGCAACAACAACAAAATTGTATTTGGCACCTAGTCTGTACCAGGTTCCATTAGGTCCCAGGGCTTGCAGTAAGGCTAGGGTTCTCTCTTACTTTCCTTCCCCTTCCTCACAAGTAAATCCCAGTGTACAGTATGATGTGCTCCTATAGAGGCGAGAGAAGCATGTGGAAGGGAGTGATGGGGAAGAAGATCTAGCCAGGGAAGGAAGGGTGGGGGCCTGGGGTGGGGAGGTTGGTCCAGGCAGAGAACACTGTCCAAGGAGCTTTAAATAGCCCATCATTGTTGGGATGGGGCTAGATGAGACTGGAGAGAGGAGCAAGGGTTGAGAAGGGTATTGAACCCCTGCGAAGGAGCTTGTCTATTGCTGTTAAAAGACCATCTATTTTAGGAAAATGCTTTTGGTCCAAAGTTAAGAGGGCACAAACTTTCCTTCCTTTGAAAAAAAAACACAAACTTTCATGGATGAAAGTGGTGTCTTAACTTTGAGACATGAGGAGGCTGAATCATTGCTCTAAGGAAATAATTATTTTATTTTATTTTTGGGACAGCGATTTTTGAAGTTTCCGGACGACCCCAAAGTTAGCAATGAATGTCTTGATCTGCTTCAAAGTTTATTGTGTGGGCAGAAAGAAAGACTGAATTTCGAGGACCTTTGTTGCCATTCTTTCTTTGCGAAAATTGACTGGAAGAACATTCGTAACTGTAAGTAGAGCCATGTTCCTCAAATTTGGGTGTTGAGGTTAGGATATTCTGACAGTGATTTGAAATTTTTCTGTCCCAAAGACGCTCCTATAAATTGCTTAAGGTCAGGGTTTGGGAATAGAAAAGCTGCAAACATAGCTGACTTGGAGTAATAATTCTGCTTTAAAAATGCTTGCACAGAACAGAGCCATTCATCAAACTCCACGTTTACAGGGCCTTCAACTGGCCCATTCATCCAGCTCCACGTTTACAGGGCTTTCAGAATGCGAGCAGGCTTCCAAAAGTTTACGGATGAGTGGAATTGAACGAGAATGTAATTCATTTCAAGACCCTTTGAAGCCCCCTTGAATGGTTCCCAAGTTAAATTTCAAGCATGGGTTGATGGAGTTGACAACCATCCCTAGGTTTCTTAGTTTCCTAGTCTTAGAATAACAATAACAGCGATAAAATTAAATTTGATAGGCGGTGGGGGGTAGGATGGCTTTAAAGAACAGACATTAATTGTCTAACAATTCAGGGGGCTAGTGCCCAAATTCAGGGTGTAGGCCCTGAGGGCAGACCATTTATCTCTGTCAGCTTCCAGTAGCTGCCAATATCTTGGGGCTTATAGACATTGTTTCCTGGTCTGTGTCTCTCTGTCTACTCTTCCTTCAAAGGTACATTTCAGAAGGGATTAGATTTAGGACCCATCCTACCCTCTAGGGAATTCCTTAGCATAACAAAAGAAAAAATATTTGACTTTTATTGGTACTTCATCCATAGATCATATAATTCAATAATTCAATCTATCAAGAAGAGTTGTACAATCATCACCACAATCAAATTTTCTTCTTCCTTGTACTCATTGTTATTCATGTAATTAATTTTTTCAATTGTGACCAAAATATACATGTGTTAGTCTGGGTAGACCAGAGAAACAAATTCATGGACACTCATGTGTATAGGAAAAAGCTTTATATAAAGAGTAAATGTACATTAAGAAAACATCCCAGCCCAGTCCAGATGAAGTCCATAAGTCCAATAAATAGCCCGTGTGCCCAGTACCAGTCTGTAAATTCCTCTTCAGACTCACGCAACACTTGCAATGATGCCAAGTGAAGGCATATTACTGACCCAGTGGGTGGAAAGTCTTGTGGATCCAGTGCCAGTGGAAGCATCTTAGTGATGGCAGGGATCTCCACGTGGCTTCTCCAGCTCCAAGGCTCTGGCCCCCATCAGTATATCTCCATGTGGCTTGTCAACAGGAATGTCTCGCAGGGAGTGTTTCCTACCTCCAGCTAGCTATTTATCTCCTTAGCGCCTCCAAATGAGGTCATCAAGCTGCCACCTTAGTAACGGGCTAGACTCCACCTCTCCACAAGTTGACACCAGAGTATGTAACCACCACAATACACAAACAGCAAAATTTCGTCAATTCAACAACTTTTTTTTAATCATTTTATTGGGGGCTCGTACAGTTCTTACCACAATTCATATATGCATCTATTGGGTCAAGCACATTTGTACAT